CAGCAGAGACGCCAGCAATACACTGAAATTATACAGTATTCATACTGTTGGACAATTTCAGTTTATTACTGTAACAAATGTAATAATTCACAGTAACATTCTGGTTAGGGGGCTGCCATTAGATTAGTGCTGAAAATTGGCTGTAAAATAACAGCAATTGCTTACAGTGTTAAACTGGACACCGAGGTGCGTTCACGCTCAACACCCCTAAGGGATGAGCGGAGCTGTGTGCAGTGCTGTCCTCACTGTAATAATGGCACTCGTGGGCTCATTACGACCGTGTGTAGGAGGTAGGTTTGGGACAGAGGAGAAAAACCGAGCTGCCTAAAAACCAATAGGTTTTAAAGACAGCCGATTTATGCAGCGAGCCATGCTGCCTATAACCGACAGGTTAGGGGCAGCCGGCTTACCCGGTGGGCCTTGCTGCTTATTATTATTCATCTGTCCATCGAACACATGCGTCGCCATTCCGAGTAATATTCTGAGAGCGCGCGACATGCTCTGGATGTGCTGTGGTTGTCATGGTGACGAGCCACGTCAGAGCCCTCGCCGCCGTTGCCCGTGAAGCAACCCAAGAGGGGCCCGGACCGAAAAGCTGCGAGGGGGCCTCCACACACTGCATCTCACACCAGCTCTCATCCTGTCTCTGTTTAGGAGAAGGCTCGTAAACTGGACATTGAGGCGCATTCACGCTCAAACCTGCTGAGGAATGAGCGGAGGTGTGTGCAGTGCTATTCACACAGTGCGTAATAACAGCCCTGGGCTCATTACGACCGATGTGTAGTAGGCACATCTGCCTGCTAACCGACAGGTTAGGAGCATCAGGTTTAAACCTCAAGCTCTGCTGTCTAATAACCGCCTGGTTAAATACAGCTGGCTTGCGCGACGAGCCCTGCTGCCGCTAACCGACAGGTTAGGAGCATCAGGTTTAAACCTCAAGCTCTGCTGTCTAATAACCGCCTGGTTAAATACAGCTGGCTTGCGCCACGAGCCCTGCTGCCTGCTGACTGACAGGTTACAGCCGGCTCTTGCACCTCCACACGCTGTATTGCACAGCGGCTCTCATCATGTCGCCGTTTAGGAGAAGGCTCGTAAACCGGATATTGAGGCGCGTTCACGCTCAAATCCGCTTGAGGAATGAACGGTGTGTGGAGGCATATCTGTGACATAGGAAACAAGCCCGTGCTGTCTAATCAAGCGACAGGTTTTAAAGACAGCCGGTTTGTGCCGCGAGCCCTGTTGCCTAATAACCGACAGGCTATGAGGCAGCCGCTTATGTCATCCAGAGGAGAGCTCTCCTGAACCGGGGGAACAGGGAGATCTCATTAGGCGGCTGCCTTTCCGATGATCTCCGGGAGTTCCTGGAGAATACCGCCTATACGGCAGAGCCGAGATGGCGGATAGTGTCAGCCCGGCAGCCGAACCTATAGGCTCGGCTGCCGGGCCGACACCGGCATCCTGGTGTTCCATTACACAGGTGTTTATGTTTGAGCTAACGAGGTGTGCAGAGATCAAAGGTTTCCATTGTTCTGAATGAGAGATAAACCTCTTACATGTGAACGTTTTGTGGAAGAACCGTAACAGATATCTGTGAAATTTCAAAACGTGAAGCATGTCAAGGAAGTTGAGTATCTGAAGTGTAATTTTTGTGTAGTTTCGGGTTCACAATGTGGCCTTTTTGGCAGTTTAACTAAAGGTGTGCGGCTGCTGCCGTGAGGAAATATCAGCCTGAAATTACAATGGGCTTTAATGGAGGAATGTTGAATGTTTTTGTCACTTCATGCCCTCAAGAGGCATTTTGTTTAATTATTTTTTGCTTAATTATTTGTCATTTTTCAGGCTACGAGATGTTTTCCTAAGTTTATCATGAAAAATTATGTCCCAGGAATGTAGGGTTTGGGAATTATGGCAGTTTAAAAAAAAATATGAAGGCATATTTCAAGATTTTCTCCACTCTAGCTGTGACATCACGCACTCTAGTTAATGTTAAATCAGAATAAAACCTTTTTAACAAGGTCTGAACAATGTTTAATATCTCTAAAAGTAAGAATCAGATTTAAAAGTTGTTTTACACGAATAATGTCAGAAAGATGTGTAACATTTTAAAGTTGGAATGAGGTTTCTGAGTGAAAGTATGAATGAACAGTTAGCAGTTGAAGGAACCCAACAGCAAAGCAAAGCAAAGCAACAAAGCAACAGCACCACCTGCTGGCTGGAGTAAGACAGCATTTTAGACAGCACAGGTACATTTGACCCGTTGGCGGTTTTAGGTATACAGCACCCCTGGCGGTTATGAGTGTCGTGTACAAGAAAGAAGCAAAAATCCCATAAGTGGACAAAACGGCTTTGTTTCACTGAAATAGCGTCAAAATCACAAAGTGCTATTAAGAGTCACATTCTTTACGAAAATCTACTAACATAAAGTATCCTACTTCATTTTCTAGTTTTCAGCTTGTATCCACAAAAGTGTATCTTTCAATAACTTTTTAAGAGAATTAAGCATAAATTTGTCAAATGTTCATTTTATATTAAGATAATCTCACAGATCATTTAATGAACTGATTGACTTTTTATCAGGACTGGGAGCTAGCCTAATTAAAACATTCTCCAAGCATGTGTGAAATGGGGGAAATAATCAAAATATCTTTGTCATCATGAGAAGAATACAAAAAAATGGTTTTGTCAGATGAATCATACCTGCTGAGACATATTGACAGAACATTGTCTTGTGGAAATGGGCTCAAATGTGAAGTTTTAGAGCCATTGCCAATCATTACACATTTTAGATAACATTTCTCCCTGTCTCCAACAATATTGCACTTACTCACTTGAATCAGGAGCTGACTTTTCCTAAATACATTTATTGTTAAGACCATTTTTAACTGTAGCAATAAAAAGAAAAACTGTAACTGTACAATTCAAAGTATTGACTTTGTTGTTATTTTATTTATTGGATTTTGAAGTATTATTGTTTGCTTTTGTCATGCACCAGCTGTAAATGAACCTGATGTTATTTAGCGATACAGGTAATATATTCACAATGATAGAATATAAATGTAATTCTGGAAATGTTTGAACAAAATGAAGAACCTCACAATGCCACACAGTGTTAGAGTGACTGAGGTCCAGCTCTCCACCAAACTGACTTTTTTACAGGGAAAAAATAAAAGAAGTATAAGTTATATTGCTCCTGCAACAGCGGCCACCAGGGGGAGCCACACTCCATGTGATTCTACATGTTGATACAATGACAGTAGATTCAAAATGTATTGTCATATATAATTTCTACTTCTACTGCACTACATGTGTCTGATAGCTAATTACTTTTTCAGACTATAGTTTAGAATCTGTCCAGAGAAAATATTTTAGAGAAATGTGTCATATTAATGGAGGTAAAAGTGCCCTGCAATGTTTTTTGTTTGTCCTTTGTGCATGCTTTGATAAATTATTTGTTCAATATTAAAGCATGAGAACATGTAAATTACTTAGATGAAATACGAAACCGCAGAAGTAACTTAACTGTTTGGATATGGAATGACTGTAAATGCTACTCCATGTCTGAGTAACCATGATCATGTTCTGTTCTGTTCCACGTGTGCTGCTGTCACTAACTCTGCTTAGACTAAGCATGTGATATAATGAAATAAGATCATGTTAACTTCACAGTGAATCTGCGACCCTCCATCCTATTCAACTCCTTCACTTTAAACTGCTGTAACCAGTGGTGGTTCTAAATTACTTGGGGGGCTGGGATGGGGCCAATAATTGAATGAGAGGAGCACATTTAATACGGGAAAAAGGAGACAAAGACAATCTTCAAGATTTGAAAGTTTTTTGTTTAGTATAGCGCATACAAAAATATAAATGCCATAATTGTTCATTTAGTAACAGAGTTTGTGTCTGTGACGTAGTTATAATTTTCTTGTTACTTTTTAAATATAATTTGGCCCAAGATTCAGCACATTAAAAGGAGTTTGGGGTAATATGTAATGTTTATGCAGCCAAACTTAGTTTTTATTGTATTTCTTATTATTTGTTGGCATTTGTTTTAGTCACAACATTTGTTTTAGTAACTTAGTTTAAATGTATTAAATTACATTACTGGAAAAAAACCAACATCTACAGGTTACAGCATATATTTAGCTGCAACCGCATAAATTGCATTATCGTAGATGTATTATTTTTGGACGGGGGCCATGGGAGGCCAAGCACAGTGTTACAGTCACTGGCAAATGTTACCTGAGTTCCCTTACAGTTATAGAGGAATAATCAGATTGCTGGTGCAATTTCAAAAACTGGAAATGGCAGGATTACAATGTTATTGCCTCCTGCTGTGAGGGAAGGAACCAGCTGTCCTCGGCCCCCCTGCTCTGTGTGTACACAGGACAGACTGTATATATGGGCTGATGACTGAAATACAATAATTATCTTAATTGATGGTAAAAAATGCAAAATAAGTCTACAACCGACAGAAATAAAACTCAATAAAGTTGCATTGCCATTGTGCTCCTTCAACAAAAAACAGACAATTTAAAAATACATATCCTTTTCTCAATACAATGGATTTCGTGTTTGATTAAAGAGCTTTGTATCTTTGCTTTGAATATGTGCTTAATGTCTTCCCATTAGATTTGCCTGGTAACAAAATAGTTTCTTCCTTCATATTCCTTTTAAGGAAAGGCAAATGAAAAAAATAACTACATGAAACCAAGTCAGTGTAATATAATATCTGTATTTATGTGATGACAAAAGATTTGTAAAGTTCAAGATCACCTGATACTTCACTTGGGTACCATTTTGTGCAACTTTATTTTATTTATTTACCTTATTTTTTATTAAAAAGGTAATAAGGACATACATGAAAACAAATACCATAACCTTTTTTCTCAAAACAAAAGATTAACGTGGAAGAGCTGAAATATCAAGCTGTGTCATGTGACTGGTTTCCACCAATCAGAGCCTCATAACAAACCGTTTGGCCACACCTCCAGGAAGTAAAGAGCACCTGACATGTCAGAAGATCCTCACATTCTCATGCATATATCTCAGCCACTTTCTGAGCTTTTAACTTCAGAAAATACTCTTTGTGTCTGTCCTGCGCATGTCTCATTGATTTAAGTAGTTTCTACCCAGTGTCAGAAGTGTCCGGCTCCATGGCCGGTTCTGTCCCCACTGTGTCGGAGCTGTTCGCGGCGGCTCGGCGGCGGTACGAGCAGCTGTTCGGGGGGGATGCTCCGCTCATAGCGGTCTGTGCCCCGGGGAGGGTGAACCTGATCGGAGAGCACACCGACTACAACCAGGGCTTCGTGCTGCCGATGGTAACACCAGCACTATTCAGTGCCACATCTGGATAACACGTCTGGCACGGATATATTTATGTTTTGTTTGAGTTTTGTCAACTTTTCAGAACTCTGGCCTGTATTATCCATATTTTGGACCACATGACATGGAAGAATAAAGACATATAGGCAAAGGATTATTACATTCCTGGGTTTATGGGAAACCCAGAAGCAAAATAAACAATATATGAATGGACTCAATAAGAACTTTTATACTAGAAATGCAGGATATGCATACATACTCGAAAGGGAACAAAGACTGCTGAGTTTGTAAATAACTTGATTTCAATGTGTCATATAACAACTCTGCACTAAAACATCTAGAAGTGAGTAGGCCTATTTTGTTTTTACAATTTTAGGTGAAATGTGTAATTTGAATGATGGTAATGGTGCCCTACCTCTGGATCTTTGTAAGGGTGTTGTGTACCAGAAGCTTGACTTTTTACCCACTTTTAAGGCTCAAGGACAAGGCCTAACTCCACTGTTGGACACTCAGACCGTGCACCCTGCCACACCTCACTGACCGTCTGTAATGTTGTATTAACAGCAGTCTTCCTCTCATCAGTAACATCAGCATACTCCCTGATTTTAAAAGAGTTTGGCTAAATATTTCCTCTCTGTGTTTGGTGACTCAGGCGCTGCCCCTGGTGACTGTGGTTGTAGGGAGTCAAACCTGTGGCCGGGATGTTACCGTGGTAACAGCGACTGAGGATGCTGATGAGCCCCACAGAGTGGACTTCAGCCTGCCTGCTGATGGAGCCCCGCTGGCTCCAGGATTACCCCGCTGGGCCAACTATGTGAAGGGTGTCATCGAGCATTACAGGGGTACACAATGACTGTCAATAGCTAGAAAACTTTGCCTGGGATTTACCATAGTTCAAGGAAAATAAATATAACTGATAATAATACTACAGGAGTTTGTCAGTGAATGAGAAGACATGTACTGCAGTAGCGTGTTGATCTCGTCCTGCTTTGGTTGTACTTTGCTTCAACGTGTCCTTTCTCTGTCTGCAGCTCCTCCTGTCACGGGGTTCAGGGCGGTGATAGCCAGCAGTGTCCCCATGGGGGGGGGGCTGTCCAGCTCTGCCTCTCTGGAGGTGGCATTCTACACATTCCTGCAGCAACTTCAGCCAGGTCAGAGTCTGAGATCAGAGACAGAGCAGCGTGATGGAGCTGCACCAGATACCCTTCCAGCATCTGTGCAGTAGTTAGACTGAATGCAATGTGACTCGAACACACCATGCTGCAAATCTGCTGCTTGATACAAAATGGATCGTGCACAGCTCCATTGTTGTAGATTAACTTATCTACACAGAAGTCTTTCTGATAGAACATAAGGAACTTTGTAGGCATTTGGTCAACATTCCTGTATTTTCTATTTTGCGATATTTATTGCAGAGATAATTAATACAAAATATCATTTTCCAAAATGACACCAACTCTGATATTCCACCAACTCTGATATTCAGTGCCGTCAGGGAGGATTCCTAATCATATCAGAGATGGAGGGTGTACAGAGATTTGAAAGGAAAACCCAAAAGCAGCAAACTGATTTATTGGTGTAGACTGACTTTGCAATGCTACTGTTTTTGGGCCAGCGTGCCTTAATTGGAGATCTTAGAGTGAAAGGGGGAGGCAGAGGGGAGGACATTGCCTGAATTGGCCCGCTCGGGAATCGAACCGGCCTTCCAGGCAGCGGTGACTGCATATGGGCCGCCCCCTCTAAACCCTAGGCTATCCGGCGGTCATATAGCGATATGACAGTTTTGAAGTTCTGCTGCAGTTTATTCTTTAAATAACTTTATTTCTACAACCATTATAGTTGAACTTAAGGTATACAGGCCAGGATTTCTTTAATTAAAGATGGATCTTTCTTGATCTTTCAGATGACGGAGACAAGGTTTCCAAAGCGGTGGCCTGTCAGCAGGCAGAGCACTCTCACGCTGGAGTCCCGTGCGGCATCATGGATCAGTTTGTGTCTGTTCTGGGCAGGGAGGGCCACGCCCTGCTCATCGACTGCAGGTACTTTAAACAGGGAGGGCCACGCCCTGCTCATCGACTGCAGGTACTTTAAACAGGGAGGGCCACGCCCTGCTCATTGACTGCAGGTACTTTAAACAGGGAGGGCCACGCCCTGCTCATCGACTGCAGGTACTTTAAACAGGGAGGGCCACACCCTGCTCATCGACTGCAGGTACTTTAAACAGGGAGGGCCACGCCCTGCTCATCGACTGCAGGTACTTTAAACAGGGAGGGCCACACCCTGCTCATCGACTGCAGGTACTTTAAACAGGGAGGGCCACACCCTGCTCATCGACTGCAGGTACTTTAAACAGGGAGGGCCACGCCCTGCTCATCGACTGCAGGTACTTTAAACAGGGAGGGCCACGCCCTGCTCATCGACTGCAGGTACTTTAAACAGGGAGATGAATCCAACATGGAGATTACTTTTAGTCTCTTCTTGTTTCAAATGGTCTTTCATAGACAGAGGAACTACATATCTACATCAGGTACTTGTTTGTGTTGTACATGGACTCGGGAAGGGGGGGTGCTGAGGGGGCTGCAGCACCCCCATCTGTTGGCGGAGAGTTCTAACTGCAACACCAAAAAGTTCACTAAACAAATCAATACAAAAGTTTTATTTTGAGTTACTATTTTTGAGTTATTATTTTAGTGTCGGCAGTCTATAAAAAGCTTCACTATAAGAGAAAGTGATAATGCGGTGTGCTTCTTCTGTTGCTCTGCTATAGAAAAGAAGCTCGTCAGTGCAGACAAGATCAGGGATGGGAGTTTTGTGAAAGGAGGATTTAACAACTGGCGAAAGGCAAGGGAAACATTTAGGGAGCATGAGAAGTCCCATCAACACACAGGCCGTCAACAAACTGGCAGCATTAAAACGAACACCGATGAATGCGCTGCTCTCACAAGCTGTTGCTAAAGACCCGCACCCCAAACTCTGACTGACTTCCCGCGTCCCTGTGTTTGTACTCAGGTCCCTGGAGGCCACCCCCGTCCCTCTGGCAGACCCAGGCCTGATCATTCTCATCACTAACTCCAACGTGAAGCACTCTCTGAGCGGCAGTGAGTACCCCCTGAGGCGCCGGCGCTGTGAGGAGGCCGCCTCCGCCATGGGGAAGAGCAGTCTCAGAGACGCCACCATGAAGGACCTGGAGGGTGAGGAGTTTAGTTCTTATTCTCCTGAGCTAAACCTAGATATTCCACTTCCTTTTTATTTCCGCTGTCCTGGGTTAGCATCCTGCCTGATCCTATCCTCTTCCATTCCAGTGATGTCATTCTGTCTTGTCCCATCTTTCACTGCCCTGTCTCCTCTTGTTCCGTACAGTGTTTTAGTGCTAGACTGTCTCTGTGCAAAGTAAAAAAAACACTTCTTTTTTTTCTGACGGGGCCAGAAATTCCGTTTTAGCCTCCAGGCTATTGAGCGTGTGGACTCTTTTTATTTTACTGATAGCAGTGGACAGTGTTGTATGGTTACAAATCTAAACCGACTTCTTCTTATAACTGCAGCCTGTAGTCCGAGGACAGGAAGTGAAATGTTAGCAGAGGTACATTTTCTTTCTAAAATGACATACTTTTGAAGCTGCTCAGTTTAGCTAAAGCTGAATATATAACTAGCTATATATGTCTCTTGAATGATTTGACTGATTATTAATAGCTCCTAAAATACAAACATTCACTTAGGACTATAGAAATAATTGCATGCTTTGCATTACATCTAAGAGTACATATGTTGAATGTACTTTGTTACATTTCACCACTAATAATCAGGGTTTGATGCAGGTAAATCTATGTGATGAGTAACTATTGGGCTACAACTAATGGGCCGCAATCATTATTGAAGTTCCAGCAACTAATGCATGTCTAGGAAACTACTGTGTGAACCATGGCCTTAGCAAAAACAGCGTTTCCTCAGCATACCTTAGCTGGTTCATTTGTTTTTGTGATGAAAAGCGCTCTGCAATTGAAGGAATACATTTACAGAGGAATCGAGACCCGGCGTCAGGACACAGGAGGAGGGGGGGCAGACTATCTGGGTTTTATGATGCAGTGGGCTGTCAGTTGGCTGTCAGCCGGCTGGCCTTCAATTTGAAGGGAGGAACCTAGGGTGCTCCATTTCAAAAGAAGCCGTTTCCCTTTCCCAGATATTTACATTACCGGTCAAAAGTTTGGACACACCTTCTCATTCAATGGTTTTTGTTTATTTTAATTTGTTTCTACTTTGTAGATTAATACTGAAGACATCAAAACTATGAAAGAACATATGGAATTATCTAGTAAACAAAAAAGTGTTAAAAAATCCAGAATATTATTTTAATTTTATATTCTTCAAAGTAGCCCCTTTTGCCTTGATGACAGCTTTGCACACTCTTGGCTTCTCTCAGTCAGCTTCATGAGGTCGTCACCTGGAATGGTTTTCCAACACATTGCCTTGTGAAGAGTTAATTAGTGGAATGACTTGCCATTACTGTCCGACTCTGTTGCAGAGAAGCTGATACATTGTTTCATTACCTCAAGCCTGGACTATTGTAACGGACTCCTGTCCGGGGTTCCCAGCAAAACCCTGAACAGGCTCCAGTACATACAGAACTCAGCTGCCAGGGTTCTCACACGCACCAAGCCCTGGCAGCACATCACCCCCACTCTATTCAACGTCCACTGGCTCCCGGTCAAGTCCCGCATCACCTACAAACTCCTCCTCCTCACCTACAAATCCCTCCATGCCCTCTCCCCTCAGTACCTCACAGATCTCCTCCACCCATACATCCCGTCCCGCACCCTTCGATCCTCAGACTCCGGCCTGCTCTCCATTCCCCATTCACGCCTCCGCACCTTCGGGGACCGTGCCTTCAGTGTCGCTGCCCCCACTCTCTGGAACTCCCTCCCTGCAGAAATCCGCAACGCCCCTTCTCTCAACATTTTCAAATCAACCCTTAAAACTCATCTGTTCAACATCGCCTTCCAACAATAACTCACTCCCCCCCCCCCCAGTTACACTTCCATTTCTGCTTTATGTTTTTTATGTCTTGTCCTTGTATGTTTGTGAAGTGAAGTGACCTTGAGGTTATGAAAGGCGCTATATAAATTCAAGTTATTATTATTATTATTATTCTTAATGTGTTTGAGACCAACAGTTATGTTGTGCAGAGTTAGTGCACAGTGGAAAGCCCTATTTGACTACTGTTGTAATCCATATTATGGCAAGAACCACTCAACTCAGTAAAGAGAAACGACCGTCCATCATGACTTTAAGAAATGAAGGCCAGTCGATCTGGAAAATGTCAAGAACCTTGAATGTATCCTCAAGTGCAGTCGCAAAAAACATTGAATGCTGTGATGAAACTGGCTCTCATGAGGACCCCCCGTGAAAGGAAGAGCAAGAGTTACCTCTGCTGCAGAGGATAAATACGTCAGAGTTACCAGACTCAGAAACCGCAAATTATAGCACCTCAGATTAGAGCCCACATAAATTATCAAAGAGCTCAAGTAGCAGACAATCTCAACATCCACCGTTCAGAGGAGACTGCGTGAATCAGGCCTTCGTGGTCCAATCGCTGCAAAGATCCACTGCTGAGGATGAACAACAAGAAGAAGAGAATTGTTTGGGCCAAGAAACACAAGGAATGGACATTAGACCAGTGGAATCTGGATTTTGGTCTGATGAGTCCAAATCTGAGTTTTTGGTTCCAGCCGCCATTCTGCAGTAGCCAGCTAAATAAAAATCATATTCTGAATTTAACACTTTTTTGTTTTCTAGATAATTTCATATGTGTTCCTTTATAGTTTTGATGTCTTCAGTATAAATCTACAATGTAGAAACAATTAAAATAAATAAAAAAACTTTGAATGAGAAGGTGTGTCCAAACTTTTGACTGGTAGTGTATATATATAGATATAACATTTTAATGCAAAGGTTAACGAAGGAAATGTATTTATATAGAAGCTTGACGTAACATGACATAGCATTTTTAACCTTCCCTGTATAGCGTCCAAAACCATAAATAAATAAAGTGAAAGTTCACTCAAAAGTCAATCTTCCGCTGAGGCCCCAGAAGGCGAATCTTACGCAGGGAAATTACACTAAAATAACAATAAACAAAAACAGTAAGGAAAATAAATGTTTAACTATGAAATAATATGAATGAATGAAAACTTTATTACAGACTCAGGGTCCAGATAATATATGAATCAATATATAGCCCCAACAGTCCCTATACTTTCAGAGGCCAGCGACAGAATGGATGAGGTCACCGTCCGCAGAGCGCGTCATGTGATTGAGGAGATAGAGAGGACGGTCCAGGCTGCTGAGGCTCTGAGGAGAGGAGAATACAAAGAGTTCGGCAGGCTGATGGTGGAGAGCCACAACTCACTGAGGTACACCACAGCAGGTGTAGAGTCACTATTAGGACAGAATGTGGGAGGAGTGAGCTAACGTGCTGCCCCCCCCCCCCATCAGAGACCTATATGAGGTGAGCTGCAGGGAGCTGGATGAGCTGGTGTCTGCCGCCCTGGAGGTGGAGGGGGTGTACGGCAGCCGGATGACGGGCGGAGGGTTTGGAGGATGCACCGTGACCCTGCTGCAGGCCGGCGCCATCGACAGGACTATACTGCACATACAGGTCCACACACACTTTGCCTCACACTGTGCACTGAAGAGATCATACAGCTCTGAAAAACATCAAGAGACAACTTCAAATTGTTCTCAAATCTCAATCACTACATGTACAGCAGCCATTCCATTCCAGTGTCTGTTGAATTCCAATACAGAGAAATGTTGTCAGTAGTTAATAGAATAAAGTAAATAGAATAATAATTGGACTCAAACACATACCTATAAATAGTAAAACCAGAGAAACTGATAATGCTACAGTGGTCTCTTCATTTCTTCTAGAGCTGTATGTGTAATGTTTGTCAGTTATCAGGAATATTATCAATCAAATATTGTTTAAGGCTTTAACATTTTGGCTAATAGTTAGTTTGCTCTCATACTGGGAGTTAGTGGAAAAGAACAATAGAAGCTTTATACATGCATTCTCAGTTCTTAAGACTGTAAAAGTTCAGGACATATTGCTCATAAGGGAAACTGCTGTATCGGGCTACCACCAACACAGATACAAACACAACTCCAGTTGCTTCTCATTCCATGTTGCCATGTCTTTACACCAAACTTGCATTTTTTTTCTACAATATGCACAAAGATTGTGTTGTTGTTTGCGTGGCCATTTTCAGAGAGTGGAGTTTAACATATTTTCTCACATGTTCACTTGAATACTTTCCACTGTCTGGGTTTAGCCCGAGAGAATAAGCTGAAACATTGGATAGCGCAGTGTTATGTTAATAGTGAACATTCAGAGGGAGTTAGAGGGTTTGCTGTCCTTATGAATCACTGAACTTCCTCACTCCTGATATAACATCATAGATCAAAGAGAAATAATGTTAACATTACATCTACATTAGCTGAGCATCTACATAGTTGTCAGCGATATCTTCTGCTTCTTGTTTAACATCAATTCCTCGTAATCCCATAATCAGTGGATAGTATGGAAGGTATGTACATCTTTATCCATACAATTATTCATTGATTCTTGATCAATTGTGGCAAGTGATCTAAATCATCTAAGAACCGCTTCTCAACAGGAACTGGTTCTCTATTCCTATTTGTAGTATATTGTAGAGCAGGGGTCTCCAACCTTTTTTAGGATGGGAGCTACTTTCACAAAATAAAACCGTTTTCAGTGTTTACTAAAATAACATGTATTCAATTTAATTATTTTATTTATTATTTTAACCTGCTTTATTTGGGGGTGGACCTCACCATCCTCTGATCACAACCAATAACAAATCATTTAAACTTGTTTATTCTTATCTTATGTTACCTAATTAGCATTCTTTATTTTTATTTATGCATATTTTACTAATCACATCTGTTTTTTGTTTTTTTTACTGTCCTATAGTACACATTGGAATGATTTCTTACTTTATCTATATTAAATAGATAAAGGTGTGCTCTCTCTCTCTCTGTCTCGCTCGCTCACAGAGGCTGTGTGCTCCTCCGTGGCGATGACGGCTTGCGTTAAAAAATAATAATAAACATATTTGTAAAGTGGGGGGACACAAACGGAATGTCCCCCCTGTCCCCAGTGGAAATTACGCCATGTGTGTGTGTGCGTCAAGTGCAATAAATAAATATGCAAGTTGCAACACACACAGAGTAAAGCTCTGCCCCTCATGTGCTGTATAGGCTGGCACGACTAGGCTGTTCAATGGGGCTGATGTGTTGTGTAGGTGCTAGTGGAGCCTCGCAGCGGCGAAACTGTGGTGCTTACACTGTAGCAGTGGCGGCCGGCCCATAGGAGCGCTAGGGGCGCCGCCCCACCTCTTCCCACATTAAAAAATATATATTTAAAAAAAATAAATGAACAAGGTACCTCAACCAGTGCAGCAGCAGCCACTAGCAGCTGACTGTTGCTATCTGTAAACTATGCCTCCGAAACATAATTTCAGCCAATCAGCGTCGTCAAATCTGATGATCACCGGGCGCCAATGTCAGCGCCCGGTGCAGGGTTATGGCTAGAAAGGATCCGTCTTGTGTAAAACTCTCGCGAGAGTTTGCGGGTCATGTGGCTGAATGTTTCCATTTGACAGGCAGCCTTTCAGTTACGATCGTTAACATCAGTGGGCCACAGCAAATGATGGTAAAACTATCTATTAATTATGTAAATTACAGGGAGTGTGATTGTAACTGTGTGTGTGACTAGCTGGATGCAAACAGGTAAACGCTGTCTTTTGTTTCCCATGCTTGCTCTTCAAACAGCCGGGGACAGATACTATGTGCCCGTGATAAATAAAAACACACACACATTATTGTATATAGTTGTGTTTTGACAGCATCCATCAAACTAGATGTTTTTCCTTAATGGTCTGTTTTCTAATATTTCTGTGTTTCTGAACCACGTCTGTGTCTGCATATAATGCTCGTATTTAGTCTCCTGATTTTAAATGGGAATTCAATCATTTGAGTGTTCCCAAAGAACCGGTGTTCTGCAGTTTGTGTGGGCCTACTGTACTGTTGCACAGTTTACTGTAGAAACTATGTCCAGGACAAGGTATTCAGAAGTTTTGGAAGATTCATAGCTAACCACACTGAAGATTATGGAGGTATTGATCAGTCTTCTCATATCTCTAACATCACCAGAAGTCATAATTTAAGGGGTAATTTCTCAAAATGTTCCCCGTGTGGTTTATTCACCATTACAATAGCCCCACCTAAAATTATTTCCACCAGCCGCCACTGCACTGTAGGTACGCCGCGTTTGCGCTTCAGATGAGGCTCCCTCCGCAAAATGAGCCCATTAGAGACTATTGATGTGTGTAGTGAGTTTGGTAGAAATATACTGTATAGAAGTGATTGAATATTATTGTATTCTCTTTTCTCGGAGTTGCACTTTGCAGACGGTCCCTGAGCACTCGTTTCTTCTCCGGCTGCGGATATAGACCAATGTAATGTGTCCAGCTCGGAGGACAGCGCGTATTGGCTTTTTTTGATCAAAATGTGATTGTAGTTCATTGTCAACCTTACCACGGTACTTAGGAGACGTCATTTGTGTCTGAACAACGTCTTGTTCATAAGTTATTGATCCGTGAAATCCGAATCTGCCAATATCGTTCGACCTTTACTGAACTGGGCCGCGGGGTGAGGCCCCACGCAGTCTGCGTGATCTGCGTGTAGGGAGGGGCGGCCCTGTATAATAACGTCATATTAAATGCAGTCATTTGGTCTTTAGCAACAGCTTGTGAGAGCAGCGCATTCATCGGTGTTCGTTTTAATGCTGCCAGTTTGTTGACGGCCTGTGTGTTGATGGGACTTCTCATGCTCCCTAAATGTTTCCCCTGCCTTTCGCCAGTTCTTAAATCCTCCTTTCACAAAACTCCCATCCCTGATCTTGTCTGCACTGACGAGCTTCTTTTCTATAGCAGAGCAACAGAAGAAGCACACCGCATTATCACTTTCTCTTATAGTGAAGCTTTTTATAGACTGCCGACACCAAAATAATAACTCAAAAATAGTAACTCAAAATAAAACGTTTGTATTGATTTGTTTAGTGAACTTTTTGACGTTGCAGTTACAACTCTCCACCAACAGATGGGGGTGCTGCAGCCCCCTCAGCACACCCCCTTCCCACGTCCATGGCAGTAAATCTATTCCTTCCAGAACTAGTGACATGAGGTAACTTTCCTTACAGAGACAGAACGTTTCTGAATCTACAGTAGGAGGCTCTTTATCAGTACAGCAACAGTTCAAGCAGATAAATCAACTCATAAACAACCTATATATTTGCGCGTTGCAGGAAACGGTTTTATTAATCATGAGTCAGTCAGTGAATAAGACTTAAAACAGAAAGTAGTTCATTGCTATTCCTCTGTCATTCAGATATATGTTAGGTCTGAATATGTTACCCAAACATTTTATACCTGTCTTGTGTTAAAAAAACAAAACAATTCTCAACAAATATTTTGACTAGAATTATTTCAATAGTGAAATGAACACCATGTTCAGTCTCTGAGAGCACATGATCTCCAGATGATTTAGATTCTCTCCTCTCATCCATCGCTTTCTTTTTGGAAATGGGTGTTTTACTAATATTACCCCTGACAGCAAGTAGATGATTTAGATCTCTATTTACAATTGAACATAATGTATGTTTTTTGTGGATGACATTCACACACACGCTGACATCCTGTCAAGCTCTCTGATTCTTTCTCTCTGACTCTACTGCTGTCACTTTTTTTGAATACCACCTACTTAAGAAGATCATGTTTGTAGAGTAGTAATGAACTTGTTAAATATACACAATACAGGTGCAACAAAATCAGTTTTTCTGTTTAGTTGTAAAATGTACTTTTTCAGTTTTTATAATTCTGTTTTCTGGAAAGTTTCTGTTTTCCAAAGGGTATTTAAAATCAAAAGGGTCTGAGGCCATTGTTCAATTCTTCACCGTGGATAAATGGCACTTTCAGTCCGTCTGTCACTTTAAGGGATGCATTTCAGACAAATGGCTCAGTCCCCAGTGTCTTGCTCAGGCAGCTCCTGTGTGTGTGTGTGTGTGTGTGTGTGTGTGTGTGTGTGTGTGTGTGTGTGTGTGTGTGTGTGTGGTGTGTGTGTGTGTGTGTGTGTGTGTGTGTGTGTGTGTGTGTGTGTGTGTGTGTGTGTGTGTGTGTGTGTGTGTGTGTGTGTGTGTGTGTGAGATCGGGGTGGTATGAACCGAGAATAAAAGCGAGCTTCGTGAAGCCACAAGTGTCCAGTTATTAGCATGCTAGTCCAGTCACTGTGGCCCTCCTTCCTTTCTGCTCTCAGACTGTGGGCCTGCTGTTTGAGAAACTTCAACAAACATGTGCATTTACTGCCGAAACTCACGGGAGACACCTGCATTAATAGGGAGGACTTATCTGCATGGCAACAATGCGATGGAAAAGGGCAGCAACCTGTTGTAACTCAGGTTTTTAAAGGGTTTTCGTCAGCTTTAAGCAGACTTGGCACGTTTCATCACATCTTTCCTAACGTGGCCGTATCCTGGATACTACTCCGGCTTGCTAACTGTCAAAGGAGACAAGTCTTTTTTGGAAACAAAAGAAGCACTTGAAACCTCCACATCTCCCAGTCCTCAGCATTCCTGACCACAGCAGAAGGATCCTCCAACTACAACAGCGGAGAAGCTCCACAGGACCACAAAGTGCCACAGCTTTCCTCCAGGATGCTCAACCTCAACTCATCGGATGAGAACAGCAACAGGAGCTCTCTGCAGGACCCGGTGTCTCTGAACGTAGGGGGGGAGATTTACACCACCACCCTGGACACTCTGACCCGCTGTCAGGACTCCATGCTGGGGGCCATGTTCACCGGGCAGATCCCCGTGCTGAGAGACAGCAGAGGAAATGTCTTCATCGACCGTGATGGGAAAGTCTTCCGGTACATTCTGAATTACTTGCGCTCCAGCGCCCTGGACCTGCCCGACGGCTTCTCAGAGCTGGCACTGCTGCGGAGGGAGGTGGACTTCTTCCAGATACGCCCCCTGCTGGAGGAGCTCTGCCGCTACGAGGCAGCAGTGCCTCTCAGCCTCAAAGGAGGGCCCCTAGGAGCCATGATCATGGTCAATGTGGAGTCCAAGGTATGTTTTTTCAAGTAATAGCACAATTTCTGTTTGACAATACAAGTCAATGGGCCTCATGGTAGAACCACTTTACAAACGATGACACTTTCCTACAAACAGGAGGGAACAGGTTATATAGCCACTTAGAGACATTGATCATGCAAATTATTACAAAAGGGTTAAATTATTATTATGATGATGTTATTATAAATATTTACAAGAGGATTGTCCAGTTAAGAGAATTTGGCTAATGTGACTAAGAACACAAGTTCAAGTAATCCTTAAGAATAACAATTATCTTGTATGAGGCCCATTATTTGAGTTTTAATAAATGTTCGATAATAATATATTAATTAACATTAGTTTACAATAGACACAATTATTATGATTCAGTGTTTCATCATAAGTAATCGGACTGGCTCCTGCCAGAATTATTTTAAAACAATACACCTATATAGGGTTAGGTGATATGACAATGATTTTAATGGCATATATGCATAAATATTTTTTTATATCGATAAAATTGCTTTCAGACAGGGAGCAGTTACAGCATTAGACTAGCTCCTCTGTTATTTCACTTTTTTAATGTGTGGTCGGGTCTTAACTAAAAATATTGATAAGAATGTTTTAGCGCCTATCATGGTGGCCTTCACCAACCTCAGGAAGTCTGGTAATGTTTACCCTACATAGCCTACAGTGTCAGCAGAGGGTGTTTGTGCATGACTTTGTACAATCAGAGACATGGACAGACCGGTTCTTTGTGTACACTCTGGATAATGTGCAGTCACGTATTTTTCCCTCTCCTTCCAGGTCCGTATTCTTCACTTTAACTTACGCCACGCGCCGGAGAACTACGAGCTGCGCACATGCCTAGTGGCAGCCTTCACAGTGGAGCTCTTCTGTACCTGGAGAGCCTTCATGGCCCTTCTTTGTGAGCGCTTCTCCTACAAAACCTCCAAAGGTCTCACCAGCCCCCATCCATCCAACCCGAGTCAGAACCGGCTGAAACTGGAGTGGGTGCCGCGGCCCGAGGAGCTCCCGCAGGAGCAGTACGTCAAGCAGCGCTACCAGGGACTGACGGTGTGTAACACCGAGGTCACGCAGTCAGGTGACATCAGCGCGCACCGTGAGATCACAGACATGCAGGGCTTTGTGGAGGAGCTGCTGAAGTTGTCTTTGGCTGAAGGCTTCAAGGTGGATCTGGTGACGCCTGATCCTGTGGAAATCCTCAACTGCACCTCGCTTCGTCTTATCAAATGCTAAGATCTGCGCCAAGAACATCAAGTAAAAAAACCCAGAACATGCCAAGTGGATGAAATATGGTTTGATCTCTCTAGACACAACTGAACCAGTGAATCCAGTAGGTTAGGGTTGAGGTTAGCCTTTAATATGGGGTGTTTGAAATAATATGGAAATATATGTTTTCGTCGGTCTCTGTGTCTGTCACAATGTCATAGTGTTGTTAACCATAATGGATAACAAATTGTGTTAAATCTGGGTTAGCGCTTTCTTCTACGTCCAACACAACACTTTAGATCCATCTGTGAAATATATTGTTCATTTACTACAATATAAACTATGCTGAGTTCTTGTTTCATGTTGATCATGTCTAAGAGCAATGAAGCACAGTAAAATAAAAATCTCTTTTTGGGAAATATGCTTGTTCCCTGTTATTGAGTTTGGTGAGAGGGCTGATAGCACTCTTTTGTCTTTGTGTGTTTTTCTTGAGGCCTAACAAATGTCTAATGTTGTTGTTCTACCTCCTGAAACATTTTGAAGCAGACATGGCGTAATTAGCTTGAAGTATTTCTCTCTGAACACAATGACTTTCTGGACCCTCGTCCCACCTTCAGGATGACCAGCAGCCAGCGGACCCTTCGGTCACTGTGAACAGCTGATTACCAACATGTCTGAAGTCTGTTTCCAGGCTTTATGCTAAGCTGAGAAAATAAGCTTGCAACTCTTGCTCCAGTTATTACTAAGACAAGAGAGTGTCATCCGACTTTAAATAAGCAAATAAGTGTGTTTTTCAAAAAGTTTGGCCTTGTGTCCACACATGTTATCTCTGAAGCCACAGCCCCGATGTGTAGTTACACTTTTGAGGTGGTGTAGAAAGCGTAGTCGCCACAGTACGCTCTAACCCCTTTTACAACTACAAATCCTACACCTTCAACATAAATACAGTTATATTTTGTCTCAGTTTTTATGTCACTGACATAGTTTTGATTTTAAAGGCAAAGATATTGCTGGCCTTTTTCCATATTGATATGAATGGAACAAATACAATTCCACTTTTTGGGTTACTTTTTTGCCATGTTCTCTCAAATAAATCTGTACTTATACTACTCATGTGCTCACTCCTGGTGGGAGGGCTTGGAATGACATTGTCAGATGATTTATGGACGTAGTGTAATGTGTAACTGTAGTTTGCTGCATCTCGGCCATAGAATGTATAAAATAGGTCACATTTTAAGAGGAATTTGTCGGGTTGCAAATCAAAACCCTTTTTTCTCATCTTCCGTCTAGGACTTTGAGAGATGCATGAATGTCTTCTGGATGGACGGTCATGTTTCATATTTCGTATATTTACATTCTTGACAACAGTATGTTCAGATGCAGCTTTAATGCTTAACACTCACATTAGGGGGTTGTTTTTCAGAAGTATCATTGGGTTAATGTTCTCATTGTGTTTGTGTTGTATGTTTGTGTATGTTACAGGAGCGATACAGTGGAACCCCGACTTTCTACGTCACAACTCCTTCAGAGGGAGCTCGGGTCCTCAGTCTGCCCTGACCTGTATTAACACATCTCTGACTCATTCCTTTTTCATAGGAATATATACAGCATTTCATATTTGGTTTTTCTTCTCAATTATCTCTATTAAAAGTGCCTTCACAGTAAAGCATTGCTATGGTGACTTGTTATTATGAGATTGCAGCAACTCTTTGTATCATCACGTCTTACATGTATTTTGAAAAACAGTCTGCTATGGATGATGACGGTGTGAAACTTTTTTATAATGACATTTTTCTTTGTTTCATTTTGAATATTAACACGTCGATATAATGTTGTGAAAGGGTCTCTGGTAGTGATTATTTTCACAGTCTGTGCAGGCTTGTTGTTTTAGTTTTAAAACTAAAATCATATTTGATTTGTAGTTTCAGCATTCTTATCTACTTAATTTTCAGCAGCAACATGCATCAACTAAACCACTGTACACTACCGGCTTTAATAGCTAGACAGGAATACGGGATATAATGATTAACAGAATAACAAGAGGAAAGGCATACATAAATGTTTGATGATGATCCTGTCCTGGCTGCTTCTTTTGGTTTTGGTTAATAAATCATGTGTTTCAGAATATAATTTCCTTTCCTTCTTGAATTGTTGAATATTAGGTTTCATTCCAGACAGTTTGCATTTATGAAAATTAAATTAGCAATAGCAATATTATTTAAATTAAAAATAAGGCTTTTTTTACCATAGTAAAAAAGGATAATATAATGCTTCTGGGAGTTCCTCTTGTCTTAAACAGCGTGCAGGTTAAAGACTGTATATATGTGCAGTTACAGAAATAAATACTAAAGCAGATACAGTAGCATACTATGTTTTAGAAAGACTGACTGCTAGACCTTGGAAAGATATTGGAACGGAAGCAAACGCGGAAGTAGGGCGGGACTTCGCAAGGAGTTGAGTTTAACGAGGTGCACTTGAATGTATCACAAGGGAGGAGTTAGCAAAACAGTGAAGTTTAGCTTAGCAGGAAACACCGAGGCTACCGCAGCGGTGCGAAAAGAAAGAGCACCAATCCCACTTTTACACTTTAACCGGGGTCAGTCGTGATATTTCCTTGACAAATAAGCTGCCTTTGAAACCAAGAATACAGGTTTACGTCCTGGTAACATTTTCCACCACTTTATATGAGGAGGGAGCTCTTGGCGAACTAAAGCACCGGACACTGGCCGGGTGTGGACTCTTCTCCAGCGGCTGTGAACTGTGGACCTCTGCTGAGCGACGGCTCTTCTGAATCAGGTGGGTTGGGAGTTACCCCACAGGTGTTTGCTTGCTAGCAAATTGGCTAACAATGAATCTTTTTACAGCCACCAGTGTTTTAGTTGTGAACGCCTACAACTCAAGCTAACTAAAGTTGCTAGCCAGACACCAGTCTTCCATTGCTCTGGCTAGCTGGCTAATCTTTACTCACTGATGTTCCTCCAGGATTCAGGCAGCTCTTATAAATTAGGTTAACGTGCATATTTAAAAGTCTTAAGTGTTAGCTTTTATACATACATATTATTATATTCTGCATTATAGCAACTCACACAATTGTGTTTGTCTAAGTTCAACTTCCATGAGTTTCTTTAAGACACCTGCTAACTTATCTCCCAAACATATCCCAATGATGTATGTGTACGGTTTTGCAATGAGCTTTAATAGTTTTCTTTGTGAATAGCTTTCATTCCGACAGTATCACATTGCCTGAATCACTTGAAACTCTGACTTTAAAACGCCTTTTTGTTCTCAGTGGAATGGATATATCTAATGTCGTATTTGGGTTTGATGACTGCTGGTTAGCTTGTTGTTTACTATAAACCTACAGTAAAAAACGAGACAACACTAGCTTCTGTAGGCGTCAGCACACCTGTGCATAATAACCGGAGAGGGGAGAAGTACTCGGATCTTGTACTATAGTAAAAGTAGAATTACCACAGTGTAGGAATACTCTGTTATAAGTATAAACATATAGAAATCCTGCATTCAAAATGTTAATCAAGTAAAAGTACACAAGTATTAGCATCAAAATATACTTACGGTACCAAAAGTAAAAATACTCATTATGCAAATTGGTCGATTTTAGAATAATATATATGATATGTTTTATAATTATTGATGCATTAAAGTGTTATCAAAGCTGGTAAAGGTGCAGCAAATTGAAATACTAAAGTAAAGTCTTGTATAAAGAACTATGATAAAGAACAGTACTGGAGTAAATGTACTTAGTTTTTTCCCACCACTAATAATAATGGCAACTTGAGGAACAGTCCAGGAAAGAAAATAATTGAAGTTGATGGATATGTGTACATATCAAACTGTGACGTTTTCTTCTAACATCACCAGGTGAATAGTAGTTGCAGAGAGGGTTGCATAATTACGGAACTGGAGCAAGGTGTGTCTCTAGCAGGTATGTTCGTAAGCCCGCTGACTCAACGGTCTGGTTTCAGGAGTGAGTAACTGGTGTATTTTGGGGGGGATGCATGAGCAAGACGCGTTTCACCGGTTTTGCTAGTTTCAGGAAAATGTAGGATAAACACTACATTTTACAGCCATTATCACATGGTTTCCAATCAACCAAAGCACCTTCTTAGTTGGCTCACATGTAGTACCTGTGTGATGACTTATATGTAAGTCATCCTGTTTAACCTGCATGCTCATCCAGTATGCTGTAAATATATATTAGTTCTCCTGCTTCATTGAATTTTTGTATGATTATTTCAACAGACAACATTTGAATATACTGTTGAGCAAAAGTAGCAAAAAGTCCCATAATGAGGTCAGGACGCTGCTGAAGGACATGCGGAGTCCTTCCAACACCACCTGCAGCACCGCACTAGCCAAACAAAAAGCCTTTGTTCTCAGGAGACTTGGGGCTAGTACACCTGCATGGTAAAGTCCACCTGTTACTATTATGGAGGCAAAACAAATGGCCGCTCCCAAAGTAGTGCAAGCAATGAATTATAGATTAGTTTTGAGCAAAGCAGACCTTTTCTCATCTTTCTCAGGTCTCGTAGGCAGTGCAAATATACAGGTGGGACCATACTATTGTTATGTTCAAAGAAAAAACTTTGAAAAGGAAAGGTAATTTATCCAGCTCTACACGGTTGAGATGTCCGAGAGGCGTCCCTTGCTCTTAAACTTCAAACGGAGCACTGGGCCCAGACTGTCACGCTGTGTTTAGTGCTGTTAACTGTTCACTTGATTCCTGTATTACCTCTCTCAATGTGCAACACATTATCTGGCAGGAAAATATGTGTTTTCTGTGGTTTGCTAATGAAGTGGCATATGAAGTAGAAATGCTAGAGAATGTCCTCCTGCTCATCAGGCTTTACAACAGATATTCCAGGACAGAGCACATTATGAGTATAGATAAATGCATGTATGTAATAATGACTTGGAAAAGTAATGGATGAATTATTTAAAAAAAGGATAAATCATTACATGCAACTCTTCATATTGAATGGCTCTCATATCAAAGTCCACATTAAAACCCACAGGCTGCTAAAATACTCTTGTGTATAAGCATATCCTGTACATTCTCAATGCTCTTAGAAATTAGACATGTTAATATCCAGAGGTGGGGCTGTATCCTTTGTGGAAAATATGTAACCTCATTACAATTGTTTTGGCGCAGTGGTTAGAGTGTTGATCATCAGATCAAGGGGCGTTGGTGAACTCCAGTTCGAAACCCGCCTCGGCCGCCACTGCGTCAGGCCGTTGTGTCCTTGGGCAAGACGCTCTACCCGCATTTGCTCCTGTGGGTAATGTCCACAGTATTGGCATTTACATGTGTAATATATAATTGTAAAGTGCTTTGAGCACCTGTAAAAGCGCTCTAATTAAAAAATGTAATCCATTATTATTATTATTGTCATATATGACAGTAAATTGAAAAGTTTGGTTGCAAGGAATCTGGGTGTGACCCTAGATAACTGTAGATGTTTAAGATACAGTTAACCGACACTGAAGTGGCCTTGACAATTAAGAAAAGTATTTCAAAGTAGCGAACGAAATATTAAAAGGAGACTCTTTATTGTTTATTCGTTAAAAAAAAAAAGCGATGCAAGAGTGTGTCCTAAACCCTGAAACGAGTCAGCATTTTATCACTTCCGATTGGCTTGTCTTGAATTCAATGTTTTTTTTTAATGTGTTTTTGATTAGCAGCACAAATCATTTTAACATTTTGTTGTACTACATCAGGGGTGGCCAACCAGTCAGAGGTTAAGAGCCACATTTTTTCTATGTTATTGCAAAGAGCCACATCAAACACACAGTCACTGATACCGCTTGTTTCCGTTTTTTGTTTTCTGGAGACAAGATTTCAACCACGTCACTGATGCATTTTTGTGGCATTGGGATATATATTTTTCAAATCCTCTGGAGCAGAGAGAGGAGCTGTGGATTATTGTTATTGATTAATGCATCAGTGTTTCTTAGGGTCAAAAACACTAAACTCACAACTTAAGATGAAAGCGTTTAGTTTATTTAATAAAAGAGCACATGTTCAATGTGAAAAGTGACAGTAGTTATAGATTATTTGCAATTTGGTGGTATATATATATAGATTTTTTTATTTATTATATATATAACTCCTTGAATTCCAGGGGGGGGCGCGGGGCTCCGTTGGCGGGCAGCGCCCCTCCAAGACAATGGTAGGGGAAACACTGGATAATGTTTAATCAACGATAGGTTTTCCCCCCCTCAAAGGTGATTGGTTCACTGCATTGCAGGTATTATTGTGATTGGCTCTTGGGCCACATCAAAATTAGACGCGCTGTCATCCTCTCATACTGACACTTGACACCACACATACACACGTAGGGAGAGCCGGGACGAAAGTAACACGGGACCAAAGTAACGGAGCTATTTTATCCGAGCCCGAACAACTTTGACCGGCCAAATTACGTCAGAATTATCAGTATTCAATACTTAACAGACCTACTAAATATCAGGTTTAACTGTCAGTGTTGTCACGATACCAACATTTTGGTTTCGATACCAAGTCAAGAATTGCGATTCCGATTATTTTTCTTAAAAAAACGGAAACAGTCTTAAATGTAATTATTGTGCTTTATTTCACACCAGAACCATAACCATAACACAAACTTTTAAACAATGAGAACAATAAATAAAATAAATGACAAGAATTCGTATTAAATAAAATTAATACATTTCTCACAGACAGGCCTCATGGTGTCCGTAAGCTTGCCCTCACTGTCAGAGATATAGCTCAAATACATCGCTTCTGGCGTCTTTTTTCTCAACAAGCCGAGGCGCAGCGGCAGCTGCACTCCCACTTGCAGCCATGCTTCTGGTTTTCTCACATGCTCTGGCAGCTAGCGCGTGCACGAGAGAGGGGAGGGACTTAGAGCGTGCTTGAGAGGGGAGGGACTTAGAGCGTGCTTGAGAGGGGAGGGACTTCGAGCGTGCTTGAGAAGGGAGGGGCTGCAGGCACGGCTGCAGTGCAGGGAGTGGAAGCAGAGCGCTGAACACACACGGCTCTTATTAAAACGGCGCTTTCTCACCGGAGTACTTTTCCCCGTCATTCTTAAAGTACCGATACTAATGAAACGGAGGAATCGTAACGTTTTTAACGGCAGGGTATCGCGGTATACCTTTCAAGTATCGGTACACCATGCAACACTAGTCAGGAGTCAGTGTCTCTCCCCCAAACTCACACATATAAAATTCGATATGAACTGAAGAGCCGCATGAAACTAGGCAAAGAGCCGCATGCGGCTCGAGAGCCGCGGGTTGGCCACCCCTGGTACATGAATAATTCATTTAATACCCCACTGGTGAATGTCTGATTCTTCTATGTGTCTTAAAAACTCTGATTGCTAACAAGTGAAGAATAGAAACTAATAAATGTCATAATGTCGAACAATATGCGCCTTTAGTTTAGTGACTGTGACTGTCATGTAGTTTGTTATTATCCTAACATTTAGCTCTGGCGATTACGTTTGCCCTTAAAAAATCTGAAAATTGGTTTATATGTGGAGATTGTTCACATGTGTAAGTGTCATAAATGTTTGTAACCATAACCCAAAACGAGTCGGTCTATACAACTTCGTCATTCCTGAACCACTATACTCTATGACTCTCCCCCGGTAATCAGTCATATCGTGCAGAAGTTGTCCTGTTCGGTTTGTCAGACCTGACATGGCACCACATTATGTTAATAGTGTAAATTGTGTCATTTCTGTTGTTCAAGGTACAATTCACTTCACTGCATTATAGTTAGCTTGATTTCCCCA